TGTCCAACCTTCTTAACAAACATCTCTGTGGTCGACGTGCGCGTTCCCGGGATGAACGTGCGCTTCTTCAGCTCGCCTCTCCCCACGGCATGCACGCACGCGTCCGCGCCCTCGCGGTGTGGTTTCTGGGGCGCGATCCCGCGGATACGAGGTTGCACCGGGCACGGTCTGCGCGTGGCACCCGCGGAAGCACGCCCCGTGTCCGCGGGGAGTCGCGGCCCAGGGCCTGGCCCGCGAGAGGCTGCGGGTCTGTTTTTTCCGCCAACGGGAAGAGGGCCGCAGACTGCCCCACGAGCACCGCGGGATCGGGCCTGGGAGGCCCTCACAGGGGGGAGGGCGCCTCAGAGGGCTCGTCCCAAAGTGTTTCTCCCAAGAAGTGTTCACGCTCACGGGTTGTTGCTTCTGCTCTCAGGGCACTGGGTCTGGGCGTCGATCTGCCAGCTATGTCGTCGCCGTCGCCGCCCCGCTGCCGCCTCGTCGCCCCCCGTCGTCTGGGCCTGCGCGTCGGTTTGGCGGCTACGTCGTCGCCGTCGCGGCACCGTTGCCACCTCGTCGCCGCCCGTCGTCTGGGCCTGACCGCCGGTCTGGCGCCAATAATACAGCATATACTGCCCCCAATACAGATTGCACCACATAGATCCTCTTTCCTGAAAATTGACTCCACCACCCTCCAACATCCAGACTTGTCTGTACCCCCTGGGGAATGTGCAATTCACATACGAATATGCCCCATTGTCCATCTTAACTATGAAACCGTACATCCCAACCGAGCTGGTATCGGCCCCCCCGCCGTCCTTTGCAACAGAATATTATGCGCGCGCGCGATCGGTTATTAAACATCGCCCGTTTCCAAAAAAAACTTGCAAATAACGAGACGAAGTGCACACGCGCGCGTCGTCGCGCGCGTGCCGAATACCTTCAAAAACTGTCGATCCTGTAAGGAGTTCAAAGTCGAATGTCCAAAAGTCATATAAAAACATGTTGTGTCGCAACAGTGAGTTTCCAAACAAATTTGAATTTGGCCGTAAACTATCGGGTTTTCATAACTTTCATAAAATGCAACCGACGGGCTTCGCGCGCGCATGTCGACATTTTTCCAACGCCCTTTCGCGCGTGCCGTCGGGAGACTCGTTAGCAACACGTGGGACGAAGTGCACGCGCGCGCGTCGTCGCGCGCATGCCGAAATCCGTCAACAACCTTAGGTTTCGTAATGGCTGCTCAAAACCGAATGGCCAAAAAACATGTAAAAAACACATGGGCTCGAAACATACAAAAAACAAAAAACATCAAAACAACATCGAAAAATCTGGGGGGGAAGAAAAACGTGCGCTCGCGCTCTTGCGAATTCTTAAGAAACCCATAGGTTTTGTTCTCTACATGTCCACGGAATTTTGCCAAGCGGGCCTCTGATGCCGCATGCCTGGATCATTAGCGCGCCCTTGCGCGCGTGTTGGGAGGCACGACCCTTGCCAAATAGTATCATGCGGGCCATTCTCGCGCGCCGGCCGCGCGCGCATGTCGAACTCTTTCCCGAACCTTCATCACCGACGCGAAGACGCCATCATCGTCGGCGTGATCAGCAACGGCGCCTGCACTAGATTTGCCGTCGTCGTTGAGAACATCGTCATCATCATTACAAACACCATCGGGTCTACCGTGGTCGGCTTCGCCATGATACCACGACCGCCCAAATCACCGACTCGCACAAAAACGCCCGCTGGGAAGTGCAAAACGGTAAGCGCCACCGCTGGCCGCCGCGTCGGTCGCGCCAAACTAGCTGGCCGCTGCGCGCGCGTGCTAAGGCTAGCGCGGCCGCAGACATACACCAGCCAACGCCAAGCATGCATCGCAATCGCCACCCCATGGGTTTTGCAAACCAAGTGGCGGGTGGCTGGGTGGGATGTTTTCAAAAGCATGGGAAATGGTCAAGCGCGGTGCAAAGTGGTCAATTCTCCTTTTATAAAACAAACTTCGGATCCGCCACCACCCACTCCTGGCTTCATCGGTGCACCTTTTTGTGCTGCGCTTTAAACCTGATTCTGCCCCATTGTCCATCTTAAATATGAATCCCCTGCCAAGCCAGGTTCGACCCCCCCCCCCTCCGCTACAACAAAAAACTATGCGCGCGCCCTCGTTTATCAAGAACCATTCGTGTGTCAAAAACCCTTACCAACACATTCAGACGAAGTGCGCACGCGCGTGTCGTCGCGCGCGCATGCGGCATCACCGATGCGGGACGCCGCCATCGTTTTCGGCGTGATCAGCATCGGCGCCCGCACTGGCCGCGCCTTCGTCGGTGCGAACATCGTCACCAACCTCGCCACAATCATCATCGTGTCTACCGTAGTCGGCGTTGCCATGATACCATGCCCGGCCAAAGAGCCGACTCGCAGTGAAGTGCCCCCTTGAATGCGCCCAGCGGTCAGCGCCACCGCGGCCGCGCCGGTGGCGCCAAACTAGCTGGCCGCTGCGCGCGCGTGCTAAGGCTAGCGCGGCCGCATACATGCACCAGCCAACGCCAAGCATGCATCGCAATCGCCACCGCATGGGTTTTGCAAACCAAGTGGCGGGTGGGTGGGTGAAATGCTTGCAACAGCATGGGATGTGTCACTCGTTTGTTAAATTCAATTGCACAACATTGATTCTCCTTTCTCAACACAGAATCGAATCTACGCCCCCCCCGGACTTAACGCTTCCCCCTGGGATATTATAATTTCACATATATATATATGTATATATATATACATATATATATATATATATTCTGCACACTCGTCCATCCTAAATATGAAATCATATCATACCAGCTAGGCCGGCTTCCCCCCCTGATTCCCTTGTAAAAACACTATGCGGTGACATGTTTGGTTCTAACATAACATTTGTTCACGAATCCCTTGCAACAAATGTGACGAAGTGCACACGCGCGCGTCGTCGCGCGAGCATGCCGAAATCCTTCAAAAACCATCGGTGCCGGAAGGATTTCGCAATCGAGTTTCCAAAACACATACAAAAACACAGGGTTTCGCAACACAGAGTTGCTAAAAAAGCTTCCGCGAAAGCTCTTGCGGAATCTTTACAAAAACAACCATAGGTTGTTCAAGATTTTCACGAAATGCTACCAAACGGGCTTCGCGCGCGCTCATGTCGAAATCTGTCGAACGCCCTTGCGCGTGTGCCGTCGCGAGAACCCCCTGCAAAACATGGGACGAAGTGCAGACGCGCGCGTCGTCGCGCGCGTACGCCGAAAACCTTCAAAACCCATCGGTTTCGGAAGGATTTCAAAATCGTGTGTCCAAAAAACTTACAAAAAACACCACACGGATTTTCAACAAAAGCGTGCGCGCGCGCTCTTGCGTCGTCGTCGTCGTCGTCGCCGTCCTCCCTCCTCCCGCGTCGTTGTCGTCGTCGTCGTCGCCTACGTCGTCCTCTGTCTTTCCTCGTGTTCGTCGTCGTCGTCCTCTTTGGCGTCGTGGTCGTTTCCGTCGTCGTTGTCGCCGTGGTCGTCCTTCCTCCTCCTCCCTCGTCGTCGTCGTCGTCCGTCGTCGGCGTCTCGTCGTCGTCCCTCCTATTTCGTCGCCGTCGTCGTCGTCGTGTCGTCGTCGTCGTCGTCGTCGTCGTCGTCTTCCCTCCTCCCTCGTCGTTGCCGTCGTCGGCGTCACCGTCCTTCCTCCTTCTTCGTCGTTCGCGTCGTCGCCGTCCTCCCTCCTCCCTCGTCGTTGTCGTCGTTGTCGCCGTCGTCGTCCTCCCTCCTTCCTCGTTGTCTTCCTTGGCGACGTCGTCGTCGTCTTCGTCGTCGTCGGCGTCGGCGTCGTTGTCGTCTTCGTCGTCGTCGACGTCGGCGTCGTCGTCGTCGCCGCCGTCGTCGTCGTCGTCGTCGGCGTCGTTGACGTCGTCGTCGTCGTCGTCGGTGTCGTCGTTATCGTCGTCGTCGGCGTCGTCATCGTCGTCGTCGTCGTCATCGTCGTCGGCGTCGGTGTCGTCGTCGTCGTCGTCGTCGTCGTCGTCGTCGAAGTCGTTGGAGACGTCGTCGGTGTCGTTGTAGTCGTTGTCGGCGGCGTCGTCGTCGTTGTCGCTGTCGTCGTCGGCGTCGCTGTTGTTGCCAAGTGCCATGTGGTACCCACCGTCACGGTCTTAAGAGATGTTGCAAACCAAGTTGCGGGTGGGTGGGTGGGATGTTTGCGCGAGCAGTGGAGTGGACAGCTTCAAGACGGTCAAGATCAGTTGCACCACATAGAGTGCACCACATGTATTGCCCCACGTAGATGTTCCCACATAGATTGAATTACGCAGATCGCACCACACACACATTGATTGCACAGCATACCTTGCACAACACAGATTGCACATCATATATATTGCACCACATCGGTCGCACTACGCAGGTTGCTCCACATCGGTTGCACAACATAGACTGCAAGAAAGACACTGATTGGGGCCCACCCTGGCTAAGGTTCGTCATCTTTCTGTTTTTGTGTTCCATCGGGTTGTCTTCGTTCCGCCCGTGTGCAAAACGAGGCCGAAACGGAAACTGCCCACGAAAAACACCGTCTAGCTCGAGGCCTCCCCTGGGGAGCTGCCGGAGGCCCGTCCGCGGGGCCTCCCGCCTACCGCGTTGCTCCCACCCGGCCAGCAGAGGGAGGGGGGGGGTTCTGCAGGGCGGTGAGCGGCGGCGCCCTCCCTGCGGACACCGTTCAGGTCGAGCCCGGGGCCCGCCACCGAGCGTCTGCAATAGGAACCCGGCGTGCAGCGCAGCGAATTCCATAGCGGCTGCGCGAGGAGGCAAGAAACCGTGCCGCACGCGCGGAGCGGACGCCGAGCCCGAACCTCGACCAGGCGGGAGGAGGGGGGGAAGGGAGGGGGGGGGGCGGGGGGCGGGAGTACTCGTAGGGGGCGGAAGGGTGGGACTGCAAAGGGCAGGGCATACAGACTCGGCTCAAGCAGCCGGTGCTCCTGGCGCCTCCTGGCGCCAGCAGGCGCCCATGCATCGAGGAGTGGGTCTGGCGGCGGGGCGGAAACCAGCTGCACGCAGCAGATGTCGTAACCCCCCCTTGCCCTATCCTTCCCTTTCGTCCGGTCCGACAGAAAGGGGCGTGGGTGCACCCGCAAGATTCACTACCCGAGCTAGCTCTGACCTGCTTGCCGCCGCTGAGCCAGCAAAAAGAGGGCATCGCAAGATCACGCCGTGGTCTCCCTGACGTTCCACGTGTCCACCTGGATGGCTGATCCGTTGATGACGGCGCCATTGAACATTGCGATCGCGGACATTGCCTCCTCCGGCGAAGAGAAGATGACGAAACCCTCCTTCCCCTGCTTGATGAGCTCAACCAGCTTGACTGAGCCCGCGGCTTCGAAATTGGCCTTGATCTCCTCCTTGGAGACGCCCGCGGGGACGCCTCCGAGCCAGACGGTGCTCTTTGCGTTTTCCTTTTTGATGTTCTTTCTGCCGCCCCCGCTGCCGCCCCAGCCCTTGCCGCCCCAGCCCTTGCCGCCCCAGCTGCCGCCCCAGCCCTTGCCGCCGCCCTTGTCACCGAAGCCGTATGGCTCGGACCAGCCCTTCGAGAAGCCCTTGGCGGGAGCTTTGCCGAAGCCCTTGTCGCCCCCCCACCCGTTCGAGAAGGGCGCCTTGCCGTAGGAATTGAACCCGCCCTTGCCCTTAGACTTGCCCTGGTCCTCTGGCGGGATCGTCGACGGGTCTGCTGGTCCCGTTTCCACGACCTCCTCGGCGCCGAGGCCCGTCTCATCTTCGTACAAGTGAAACTCGCAAGGCGCTCCAGGGTGGAGAACACCGCTTCCGTCCATGATGTCATTCATGGTGCAGAACAGGTTGCCGTTCTTCAATTTGGCCTTCTCGTGCTCGATCACACCGCCAGGCTTGATCCATCCGTACTTGCCCTTCCACTGGGTCACGAGGCCAGTTAACTTCTCCGCGGAAAGCCTGGTTCGGGGCAAGGTGTGGCCTTCAGGCTTCCTCGACATATCTGCAGCTGGCACGGCTTGCCGTGCACAGCGGGCTGCGGCTTCAGCCCAAATGGCTAGGAGTCAAATGATTTGAGCCAAAATGGCTACGGAGGGTAGGGTAGGGCATACCGTAGACAAAAGCAAACAGCCAGAAGGGAGGAAATGATGGTAGGAGGATGGGGGGAGGGCAGAATAAGGGATGAGAGGGAGTGGGGCAGGCACGAAGACCTCTGCACCTGGAGAGGGGGGTTGAGAAGGAAGGATCAGCACAAAACGGGGGATGGCAGAGCTGGGGAGGTATGGAAACAGGAGCACCAGCACCGAGGAGGCCGAACGTCGGCGAGGTGGGCGGGTGGGCGGAGCAGGGAGGGAGGGCGGACGGAGAGGCACCGATGCACCGGACTGCTGACCGCGGGGGGATCCATGGCCTCGGGCCGCGGGGATCCGCCGGGCGGTGAACGGGCCGGCCTCTGGCAAACGCTGTGCCCGAGAAGGGTGCTTCGGGGGCGCTGGCCCCGCAGGGGGGACGGCGTGGGGAGAAGAGGGGCAGGCGGAAGGATTTGCACGCCACTGAACGGAGAGAAAAGAGATCCTCCTCCCCCTCCTCCTCCTCCTCCTCCTTCTCCTCCTCCACCACCTCCACCTCCTCCTGAGATCCTTGGTCAGACACAAGTCTTAAGGGGGACCATCAGGAAGGACCTCTTTGCACAACGGAGCGGCTATGGCAGGCCGCCCCGCGGGCCCGCGACAGCCCCCCCCCGAGGAAAAAAGACAAGGCAGGTGGAACGAGGAGGGGAGGGATGATTGAGGAGCACGGAAGGAGAAGACTCGGAGCGACGAGGGAGGAGAGGCAGGATGAGGGAGGTGGACGAGAACGAAGGACAGCCGGGATAAGACGATGAGGAGGAGGAGGTGGAGGAGGAGGAGGAGGAAGAGGACGAGGAGGAGAAGGAGAAGGTGAAGGTGGAGGGAGGAGAAGGCATGAGTGTGTGGAGCGGGATGGGCGAGGGAGGCAGAGAGTTGGGAGGATCAGGAGTAAGGACAAGAAGTGCATCGATGAGTGCAAGTGGGGGTGGGTGAGGAGGCGGGGGCATGATCGGGGCACGCCAACAATCCACCTGCACCGGCACCTGACCCAGGTCTGGCGCATGTGGACTGAGCTGGCGCTCCTTGGCGTGAGAAGCAGCAGGATCGGCAGCAGCGGCAGAAGCAGACGCGGAGGGACTCGCGGCAGCGGTGGCGGCAGGAGGAGCAGGGAGGAATCCCCAGGGGGGGCAGCAGGGGGGCCAGAGGATCCGCTGTGGCTCCTCTTGGCCGGACTCTTCCCTGGTCATAAGCCGTCGCATTTGGGCACTCCTCGCACGTAGCTTTGGATTACGTTCACGAGTCACCTCACCTAACAATTGAGATCTCGCTGCCCTGGCAGAGAGAAGAAGAGATGCAGCATGGGTTCTCCTCCTCGTCCTCCTCCCCCTCGTCCGCCTCCTCCTCCTCCTCCTCCTCCTCCTCCTCCTCCCTCCTCCTCCTCCTCCTCCTCCTCCTCCTCCTCCTCCTCCTCCTCCCCCCCCCCCCGGCAGGCCTTCTGGAGCCAAGTATGGGATTCCCCAGATGGGATGTCGTTGCTCTCAGGAGTGCTGGATGCGCTCAGACCTCGCGCCCTCAAGTCCCTTGAGTTTTTGGACCCCTTGGAACCCACTGATGTGTTGAGAGCTGCGAGGTGTTTTTCTAACACTACTGCGGTTGGGGTCGACTCTTGGGCTCCTCGGGTGTTGGTTGACTTACCTCGGGATGCTGTTTTGGGGTACACGCATCTCCTCAATCAGTGTGAAGCTTCGTTGTCCTGGCCTTCCCAGGTTTTTCTCAGTGTTATTGCTTTGCTCCCTAAGAACATTGAGTGTGATCGTCCGATGTGTAAATGCCCCACCCTTTACAGGGTGTATTGCAAGGCTCGTAACTATGATCTCGACAGGTGGACTTTAGACAGATATAATTATTGGGACACCGCTGTGAGAGGATCCAGTGCGCTCCAGGCCGTCTTACTTCGCGAGCTCGGCCATGAGATGGCTCGTATGTTGGGGCTCTGCTCGGTCGGAGCCCACTGGGACCTCAAGCGTTTTTTCGACACGGTCCAGCCGCACAGGCTGATTGAGTTTGCTGTGAAGATGGATTACCCGCTCCACCTCCTCTACCTTGGTGTTTTGATTCATGAGTCCCCTCGTGTTCTTGAGGTTGGTGGTTTTGTTTATGATATTATTCCCCCTGGGAGGGGTATCCTGGCGGGGTGCATGCAATCCATGTCATGGGTTAAGATCTACGTGTATGATATCCTGGACTTGGCTCATGTGCAATATCGCCCCGTCAGGTTAAATCCTATGTTGACGATATTACCCAGTTTCAGGCTGGAATTATGAATGATAGTTTGGACTCTCTAGTGCCTGCCGCCATGTTGTTGACCCACCAGCTTGAAGAAGTTGGTTGCACCATGTCTGGCAAGTCTGCTCTTGTGTGCAGCCATACCGACCTTGGACGTGAGCTTGCAGCTCGCTTCAGGGCGACAGGGTTGCATATTCAGTTACATGCTGCAACTCGAGATCTGGGGGTCATGACCACGGCGGGGAAAAAGAGGTCTACTGTGAAGTTAATGCAACGACGTTGCCAGGCCTCCAAGAAGGCTAAAAAGGTTGCTTTTCTGGCCCGTATCGTTGGATCCGCTAGGCGGTTGTATAAACGGTTGTCCACTTTTTCCCGGCAAACTGGGCTTTTTCCCGGCAAACTGGACTTTTCCCCGGCGCTCCGCCGGGAAAGAGTCCAGTTTGCTTAGTTTTTGTATGGAAGCTTGAAGCATGGATTTCCGAAAATCCCACTATCACCTGAAGGGTCTCCAACTCCCGCTGCGCAGATCCTAGCCGGGAAAGAGTCCAGTGGTTGACTTGTGTCGTGCGGCCTTCGCCGTAGCACTACTCCTCGCAGTGTTTGTAATAGTAATAGTAGTAGTAGTAGTAGTAGTAGTAGTAGTAGTAGTAGTAGTAGTAGTAGTAGTAGTAGTAGTAGTAGTAGTAGTAGTAGTAGTCGTAGTAGTAATAGTAATAGTAGTATAGTAGTAGTAGTAGTAGTAGTAGTAGTAGTAGTAGTAGTAGTAGTAGTAGTAGTAGTAGTAGTAGTAGTAGTAGTAGTAGCAGTAGTAGTAGTAGGGTTAGTGGATTAGTACTACTAGGAGTGATTGTATTAAGGATAGTGAGATTACGAATAGTAGTTGTAGTAGTGGAAAGATTAGTGGTAGTAAAAGCAGAAGTATTCGTAAGCGATGTCAAAAACCGTCCAGGTAGACGTACTACTGGTTATCCGCCACCGTGCCTCTGGGCACGGAGTGGGCGTTTCCTGAGGTCCTCTGCCAAGTCCCCTGAGCCTGAGTCCTCGCTCCTGAGGAATCATTAAGGGCACCAGAGCCCAAATTGCAAAATCTCCCGGGCCTTGTCGCGGTTCCCTTGGGCCTTGTCGCAGCTGCCTTGGGCCTTGTCGCAGCTGGCCGCGTGACTTTTTCGGGCCCACGAAGGCCCCAAGACGTGCCCAGAGGGCCCCAAGAGGCATCCAAGACGGCCCAAGAGGGGCCCGAGACGCCCAAAGAGCGTTCCAAGACGCCCAAGATGGCCCCAAGACGGGCCAAGAGGCCTCCAAGACGGCCCAAGAGGCCCCCAAGAGGCCTCCCAAGAGGGCCCCAAGAGGCTAACATTGTTGATTTCCCATTGTGTTTTTCGATGTGTTTTGCTTTCTCGCCTTTTCGGCTTCCCGACGCTCTGAGACGGCCCAAGAGGCCCCCAAGACGGCCCCAAGAGGGCCCAAGAGAACCCCAAGACGGCCCCAAGACGGCCCAAGACGGCCCCAAGACGGCCCAAGAGGGCTCCAAGACGGCCCAAGAGGGCTCCAAGACGGCACCAAGAGGGGTCCAAGAGGGCGACAAAAAATTCAAAAAATCAAACTTCCCGCCCCCAGGAGCCCCAGGGGGGCCCAAGAGTGCCCCAAGAGGCCCCCAGAGGCCCCCAAGAGGCCCCCAAGAGGCCCCCAAGAAGCCCCAAGCAGCCCCCATGAGGCCCCCAAAAGACTCCCAGAGGCCCTAAAACGGCCCCCAAGAGGCTTCAAAACTGCCTCCCAAAGACCCCCGAAAGGCGTAACACGAGATCCCGACACACATACATTGGGTACCACTTGAGGCATATTGCCGACATGCCTCAAGTGATACCTGATCGGTACTGCTTGAGGCATACAACGGACATGCCTCAAGACGTACTTCTTCGGTACCACTTGAGGCATGCTGCCGACATGCCTCGAGTGGTCCAGAATTTGAGATTCTCGCGCTTTCGGTTCCCCACCGCTCCACGACGGCACCATAGCCTCCAACAACGTCCAATGTCCACGAATCCAGGCACGGTGGCGGGATGGGCCGAAGGCCACTAGATAGTAGTAGCACCGTGATTCTTTCCCCAACCATCCTGTGGTGTTGGGGCCTCGCTTTGAAGAAACAGCGCCCCGCGTCACCTCACTCACTCACTTCCGTTGCCCTCCTCCCTCCTCCCATCATCGTCATCATCATTATCATCGTCATCACCGTCATCATCATCTTCATCATCGTTATCCTCATCCTCATCCTCATCATCATCATCTTCGCCGTCATCATCACCGTCGGCAGCAGTAGTCGCACAGTATCGGAAGCAGTATCGGGAGCAGCAGTCGCACATCCAATCATAGCAGTCTGAGGTGTACATACATGGACAGCATTGGTAGTACCACTAATAACATCAATACTAGTGGCCTCCAAGACGTCCTCAGCACGGCCCAAAAGGCCTCATCGGCGACCCAGGACGGCCCCAAGAGTGCCCCAAGCTGGCCCAAGGCGGCCCAAGAGTGCCCCAAGGAGGCCCCAAGGGGGCCTAAGGAGGCCCCAAGGCGGCCTAAGGAGGCCCCAAGGCGGCCGCGTCGGAGGTTCCAGGGTCCGTCGTCGGAGGGAACTCTGTAAAACTTTTCAAAAGCTTTAAATGTTTCTGAAACGGATCGCCGGGAAACAGTCCAGTTTGCCGGGAAAAAGTCGAGTTTGCCGGGAAAAAGAGTTTTTCCTTGTATAAACCTGGGGTCCTTGCTGTCGGCTCGTGGTCCCACCAGGTGTTGGGGCTCACTCCTGGGCAAATCCAGTCTATGAGAGCCCAAGCGGCCATGTGTAGTGGTAGATGGAACCCTGGGGCCTGCACTACCACTGTCTTGGGGCTTATCAGTCCTGCCAAGGATGACCCCCAGTTTAGGCTTCGCTATGAGCAGCTTGTGAGTTTCTATGACGTATGGCAGGACCTTGCGCACACGAAACGAATGGAGGTTTCGAGATGCTGGGACATTGTAGTTGAGAAGTTCAGCAAGACCAAGCATCGGTGGCAATGTGTGCGTGGTCCATTGGCGGCTACAGTGGCGGTGCTCCTTGACCTCAATGTGGTACCGCGTAGCCCAGCATATTGGATTTTGTCCCAATGGAATGCACGTCCGCTCCAGCGACCAGGCTTTCCCCCACACCCTCTGGAGCACCCTCATGGAGGTGTGCGGGGACATGTCGTGGAGCGGGGCTGCTAAACACTATGAAGGATCTGGTTTAGGAGGAGGAGTTGATTTCACTGCCCCTCGGATGTTTTTGAGGAAACTTGAAAGGGATGGCTCTTTTGAAGCCGCTGGAATGATCAGGAATGTTCTGACCGCTGGCTTTTGGACTGAGGACCGACTTGCTAAGGCGGGCTACGAGTCCTCTACCAATGGCAGGTGCCCTAGGTGCGGCCTCGAGGCCGAGACTGCTGCCCATCGTTTTTGGTCCTGCTGATGTAATGATGATATCCCCGACAGCGCGATCGACCGATCGAATGAGTTTAAGGCTGAAGCTTTGGGTTCTCCTGAAACCTCCTGTTTCTGGATGCGTGGGCTCCCGCCCTTGTCCGCCAGTGTTGGCCACCTTCCCGAGCCCTTGGAGCTTTCTTGGGATTGGGGAAAGTTAAGTGCGGGAGCTCGCGTGGAAGGGGGTGTCTGGGGAATTGACGGCAGTGGAGGTAGGTATCATAAAGACTGGCGTCTAAGGCGATGTGGATGGGCGATCGTCCACCAAGGTCCAGCTGGCCTCTTTGACGGTGTAGCCAGTGGGACGCTGCCAACTAAGGTGCAGTCTGCTGGTCGGGCCGAATTATATGCACTTGTACAGCTGGTTATGCGCTCTACTGGCAATGTCAGAGTATATTCAGACAATATGGCCGTCGTGAAAGGTGTGCGTCGCCCCCTAAGTATGAAGGCTAAATCGTCTATGCTTGATCTTTGGAAGACTTACCATGAGGTCCTGGGGGCTCGGGGCGGTACGGTTGATGTTCGATGGACCAAAGGTCACCCCACCCAGGCTCAGGCGTTTCACATGGTTTTGAGTGACACTGAGGTCTACCTCAATGAAGCCGCTGATTTTTTGCGGGTAAGGCTGCTGATGCAGGCCAGGTGACAGAAGAAGCGGCCCAACGGACCCTCCTGGCCGATGAGCGGGCTTTCAAGGTTTTAGGCCGCCTTCTGTCTGTCCAGAGGGAGGTTTTGTTTTGCTCTGATCGTGAGAAAGTACGACGAACAGGAAGTACCCGTGCCTCTGTGAGGTCTCTTGACGAGAGACTTTGCAGGCTCCGTGACTCGGGTCATGACTGTGTGGTGCGTTCCTCGTCCTTTAAGTGTCGACAGTGCGTACGCTCGTTCGCACGTCGAGGCCCCCTCTGTGAATTTTGGCCTGGTATTTGCAAACCCCGTGCAGAGATAAATCAGCGAATTCAAGCCCTCCCTGCTAGGAGTGCACCAGACCCTCTTGGCAGGGGGCCCTCACCTCCTCCTGATGATCTTGGGCCGTTGGAGGCGGGAGTGGGTGGGGGTACGGATCGTCCCGTGGCCGAGCTGTGCCATGCCTCGCATCAGCTCGCCACTCTCAGAGGAGTCTTGTTTTGCCAGGTCTGCGGGTGCCACTGCGTGGAGAACCCAAGGAACCTAAAGGTGGAATGTTTGCCACCCACCCGTGCTGGCCACGAAGTGCTCAGCCGTCTGAAGAAGGGATTGCCTCCTAAGTCTGGAGAAAAGTTCCCTGATTTGTGAATTGGCCCAGCGTGCCCCGCCTAGCTGCAGGTCACCACGCATAGCGGTAGAATAGAATAGAATAGAATCCTCCTCCTCCCCCTCGTCCTCCTCCTTCTCCTCCTCGTCCTCCTCCCCCTCGTCCTCCTCCTCCTTCTCCTCCTCCTCCTCCTCCTCCTCCTCCTCCTCCCCCTCCTCCTGCTCCTCCCCCTCCTCCTTCTCGCCCTCGTCCTCCTCGTCTTCTGTCCTTGCCACCCCGCCTCCGGTAGCGGCGGGCGTCGAGGCGAACAAGCGTCAGCCCGTCGCCAACAGCTATACGGCAGTGGAGAGGGGCGGGGGGGGGAGAGGCTCGGAGGGGCCGCAGCAGCGGCGGTGGGAGGAGGGTGGAGTTCCGAGTGATTCGTTGACGCGTTGGGAGAACAGAACACTCACTTCTAACAAACATGACTCTCTTGTTTGTTTGAAAGTCATGTGCTGCTTCACCTTACAATCAGCAGGCAACGGTCGGGGGACCGGCACAGGGGGGGGGGGCATCGACGTGGAATCGGCGATACGTCGCCGATGGATCGGTGACGGGCCCCCGATGGCGAATCCGCACGGTGCTGGGCGGGGTGGGCTATCATACCAGCATCGGCAATGAATGGGCGACTGGGGGTCGATGCATCCCCCTCCTATGCAGCGGCCCCAACGACACGCTGGATGGCCTGCAAGGGGATAACGCCCCGCTCCGCGGGGCGGGAAGGTCGGCAAGAGGCTCGGGACGTTTGAGTATCGCTTAACCAACCCCAATCCCCAGCGGCGTGGCCTGGGCCCCACTGGCCGATTTGTCCCCCTAGATGGGGATATAGGCCGCTCCCTTTTGGTTTCGAGAGGTGTCTCCCCAACTGGGGTGGTAATTAGGCGGGGGTCTCGAAGGGGATGGGGATGGGAATTGGTTAAACGATACTGAATGTTGACGCTGGAGGAGCGGTAAATGGATTGCGTGTCTCGGCTGCACGTAAGAGTGGCCCTGGATAACAATGACCTTTGGTGCACTGCTTTTTGGGTGCCGCTGGGCGACGGAACACAGGCGCGCAGGACGCTACTATCGCATCGTGTTCGGTGATCGGGGGGGGACCCCAATGCGCCCACACCAGAGGTCACTCCGGCGAAAGGCCACTCTTACGCCTAGCCGAGTGTCGCGCCGAAACAAAATAAGCCCAAACCGGCAAACCAACCCACAAAACCAGCATTCCCAACAATCTGAATCATAACAAGGGCTATGTCGACCCCTATCACAGGCTTCGTAGGGTTTTCGAATGGGCCAACACTTCGGGGCTCCACCCTGGGATATACGAGAAAGGGAACGTCCAACCTCGACAAGGCTGCGTAGCACCCGCAAAAGGGAGCGGCCCCCGCCTCGGGCTGCGGCGCGCGGCGGTCCCGCAAGCGCCCCAGGGCCACCTCGAGCTCGCGCCGCAGCCGCTCCTCTCGCGGGCGGCATCCCGAAAGGGGCCCAGGGATGCACAACGAAATCGACACAACTTCCAGGATTCCCTATTGTTATTTTTTTGACGGGGGAATCTGGTCTTCTCCTCCACTTCCCACATCTTCCAATGAGTTAATGGGGATCAGCGTTTCTTTGTGTATGTACTTATGTTTCCCTCCTTTCCCCATCCATTCGGGGTCGTCGTGCCCCCCGTGAAGGGCACCCCCTTGGGCAGCTGCGACCCTGGCACCCAAACGGCCGTTGCCAAAAGCCCAGTGGGCGCTGTTACCCCGTGCCAGGGAATTGCTTGCCTAATCTCACGGGTACCCCCCAGGGCCTGACTGGAACAACCTAGTCATAAACATAGTTCTTCCCCTCCTCCGCTCGAGAAACGAGGATTTGGATCTTAAGACATACTTTGTATGTCTGGGCCTACAGGAGCCTCAGGGAACCTCCTGGGACCTCCACCTCCCTGATCATGCTCCTCTGCTCCTGCTCCTCCTCCGCCGCCACCTCCTCCTCCTCCTCATCCCCTCATCCCCCTCAACCTCATCCTCCTCCATCGTCCTCCTCCTCTCAACCCCTTCTACACCTCCTCCTCCTCCTCCTCCTCCTCCTCCTCCTCCTCCTCCTCGTCTCTCTCCTTCGCCCTCCTTCCTCAGCCCTCCTCCTCCTCCTCCCTCCTCCTCCTCCTCCTCTTCCTCCTCCTCCTCTTCCTCCTCTTCCTACATGCCATCGTCGCGGCCGCCCTGAGGGTCCTCCTGCTCCACGGAAAGGGCCCTCCAGCTCCCTGCTCGTTGTTTTGACGTTGTGGGCAGAATTGCTCCCATGGCTCATCCTCCTCCCAGTCCTCTTTTACCTGGCTCGCGATTTCTCCACCTCCTCCTTCCTTTTTTGTTAGGCGGACTCTATGTGCACAGGCTGTAGCATAACCTCCTGCTGCTCCTGCTGCTTCTCATCACTCACCCACTCACTCACCCACTCACTCACTCACTCACTCACAACACCTCCGTCCTCGTCCTCGTCTTCGTCGTCGTCGTCCTCCTCCTCCTCCTTCCCATCATCTTCTAGAGGGAAGGGAGGGCTAATCAGGGATGGGGGGATCAGAGAGGAGGACGAGGGAAGGGGCATGAGATGTCTGGAGGTTTGCTGCAATCTCTGCACATTACCATATGTTTCGGTACATCCCTGGGGGATGTCGGACGGGTTCGGCATGCTCCTGGGAAGCTCGGTGGTGTCCAGGCGCACACGGGGAGGGCATAGAGCACTAAGGAATGGAACGGGGACCTGAATACATCCAGGGTGCGTAAAATGTCCTGCAATCATCCCCCATCCCGTCGGCAGTTCTATAGGTTTAAAGCGAATGTGCGATGAACTGAGGCTAGAATCACATGTCGAAAAAGAAACATCAGCCCTCCATCCGAGGAGCTGCTGGGAATGCTAAGTTGCAGGGACATTCATGGCGCGCAGGTAACAAGCAACATTCGATTGGCCGATCCGACTGAAAGGTCTGGTGGTGCGGCGATGAGGGATTCGTTCTAAGGAGGTGGGCTGGGAAAGGGAGGGAGTTAGGGATGAGGGATGATAAGGGATGAGAATCGATGGTGGAGGATGGTGGCGGGCTGGCCTTTCGCGGTATTAGGATTTTCTCGATGGTGTTCAAAGTTCTCGGGGGGTGGGGGGGGCACCCAGCAAGGATCTCCATCTTTCCCCTCTTCATATCTCATCATCCACATCCCCACCGCCCTGCCTTCCTCCCTTCTCCCCTGGTCTCCACAGTTATCCCTCCTCCCTTGCCACTCCCTCATTTCTCCTCCCTCCTTCCCCTTTTCCTTTTCCCTGTCCCCCCTCACCCTTCATCCTCGCCCTGAAGGTGAACTTGGAAAGCGAACCTACAAAACACACAAACCCCAGGTTGAAAGCTGAGAGCCAACTAAACACAAACCATCAATCAAGCAAACATCCATCGTAAATCGAACAAACCGAGCAAGACGTCAAACAGAACGGACACCGGTGGTTCGTTGACATACCTGTGGCCTCAATTGTGCATACGACCGAGTCCGAAAAACGATAACCAAAACATGTTGACGTCTCGCTGTTATTTCCGCCGCCGTTCGCCGACCTTCTGCTGACCGTCCCGCCATCGTTTTAATTCCGCCGGCTTCCGCCGGGCTTCCGCCGGAGGCGAAACGCGCCTGAGGCAATGCCCTTCCTGTGACGCTCGATATGGACGATATCCGCCACCCCGCCCCAAAGCACGAAGTGAAGCGTGTGTAGGTCCCTGGGTCCCCTGAATGATAGGTTCTATGGATAATAATAGTAATAGGGGGTGATCTGACTTGGGGGAGGGACTGACTTGAGCTGCCTCGGAGGGTGGCGGGCGCCATGCGGACGCAGCCTCTGGGGCCTTCAGTGGAGCTCCCTGTGGCGCCACGAAACGTCTGAGGGGCGCGCCGACATGGAGCGGGTCACCATGCGGGCGCAGCCACTGGGGCCTTCGGTGGAGCTCGCAATGGTGCCAGGAAGTGTGAGAGGGGTCAATCGCCATGGGCGAGCTCCCTACGGGGCCACGGACCGTTTGATTGGGTCGCCGGAGTGCAGCGGGCCACCATACGGACGCAGCCGCTGGAGCCTTCGGTGGAGATCCCCACGGGACAGCGAAACGCGCGCAGGGTGTGAAGTTCAGGTGGACGGGAGGCGGGGCGCAGCGCTGCGAAACCAACGCGAGGACCCAACACACAGGAGCCCTGGGGGGAACTGGACGGCCCGCCTCTCGCATCATCCCCCCCTTCCGCCCTCCCCGCCTCTCCCCCGCGTTCCTCCCCCGATGTGTTTGGCCCCTCCAGAAGGGCCCCCCATGGGGCACTCCCGAACCTTCTCAAGAGCCGTATAACCAACCCCCTTCCCCGTACTACTCTCCTCTCTCCCCTGAGTCAGTCCAAGGGATGTCCCGCCCTCTCCGCGCATTCTATTTACAAAAAAGATTGGACAACCGCGTGCTGCTATATGTTATGTTGCACAGCTAATTGTTTCCGGTGCGTCACAATGGCCGCGGGCCACGTGTTCGAAACAACGCGTTGCTCCAATCGTTGGGAATGCCGATCCCGCTCCCGCGCGGGCCACCTTTTTGGATCCGAACTCTTTCTTCATTATTGTCGCCACCCTCATTTTCCCTCGTCCGCCTTCTGGTCCACTATCACACGAGTCCGCGGAGAAAGAAAGAACAGCGCAATGGGAAGGGATGGGTTGGAGGGATAGTATGTCAGGTATGGCGCGAGCGCGCCTAGCTTGTGCGCCTCCCCCTCGCCCTCCTCCCGACTCTGGAGCCCCTTCCAGAATCCCCTCAAAACTTTCCTTATCCCCATCTTTCCCCGCACCCTCACTTATTGCCCCTCTGCCCCCCCCCACCGATTGCCATGACGTGCCTTGTCTTGCTCTCCCTGTCGGTCTTGTCTCCCCTCCCTGCTGCTGCTGTTGCAACCCGTCCGGTTCAGAGGATTTCGGGCGCCTCGCAGTCTGACTTTGCACGCCGACAGGCTTGGACGCGTCGACCTTGACGAGGGGCTGGCGGCGGCAGTGGCAGTGCCAGAACGCGCCCACGGTCTAGCAAGGCAGGAGGGTGCAAACGCGACTTGTCTGGCTGACGCTTTTTGTTGGGGGGGTTCTCAAGGGGGCTACAGCACCGCCCACCGATGTGCTGGCAACTGAGGAGGCCGCGGCTTGCGTTCGTCGAGGCGACCCCGCCCTGCGCTGAAAAGGGCGCGCGGGACAGCCGCGGGGCAGCCGCGGGGCAGCCGAAGCAAAGCGGGCTCTTGGGCGGCATCGCCGCGGGACGCCGCGACATAGCCGCAGTGCAGTGGCAACCTTGCCTGCAGTGCAGGGTGTGCTCTTTGCATGGCTGGACGTGCTTCGGCTTTGGCCTCGGCTTCGGCTGTGGGTGCGCCGTGAAGCGCCCTCGGGCCAGCTCACTCGAACCGGCTGTCCGCTCAAATGACTGCCCCCCTCCCCTCCACTCACCGTGCCCAAACCGTGCCCCTGAACACCCTGCACCCCCTCCCCGAACCCCAGGCACTTGTCATCCCCCCACTCTTCCGCCCTCCCCTCCGTTCCGGTCCTCCTCCTGCCTCCCCCCTCCCTCCTCTCCTCGAACTCTCCTCCGTCCTTTTTTCTCCTTACTTCTCCTCCACCTCATCATCTCACATCCTCCCTCAAAAGAGGCAAGCAGCAGTGCCCACATGACGGGGGAAGACAATCGGGGCATCCGATGGCACGGTGGACAATAAGGAGGGGATGCGATGACACCTCCCCAGTCATCAGCCTTCAGGTGGCCATTCTGTGCGACGAGGCCAGACCACCGTCAAGTGGGAACTGATCACTGGGTTCAGACGCTTTGTCGCATCTCGCGGGTTTCACAAGTGCAGCATACCTCCCCTCACTCCTCCCTCCTCCGTCAACATGCCTACGCATGCCCAGCGGCGCTCAGTGCCATAGCTTGCTCCCAGCCCCCCTCCCAGCCCCTCGGGGTCCTCCCTGGCGCGCGCCGAATCACGGGCATCCAGCCTGCGGCGCTCCACCTCGTCAACCTCCTCCGGAAGAGGCTCGACACTCCAGGGCGGGGGTAGCAGGAGGGGACGATGAAACCACAGAGCCATCAAAACTCTCGGGCTGTGATCGTGCGATCTGTTACTCCGCCTGGCTATAAGAGGTATCCAAACACTTTCTAGCCACAAGCCTCGGCAGCTACGGAATGCAGAATCAATACCATCAACAAAGGATCCGAGCGAGCTAGGAACTGAAGAACTGGCACCATATATGAAGGTGGCGAGGGTCCAGACGGTCCCGAAGACTGCTAACACGCCACCGACTGAAAGCATTCTACAACGCAGTCCCACGAGATCCAGGAGAGAGGTGGACGGGGGGAGGAGGATGCCAGACTGCGGAGCATGGGACAGATGAGGGAGGAGCGTTGAGGAAACGTCCAGGCCTCCAGGAGAGGGGGGGGGACTAGGAGGATGGAGGAGGGTATGGAAGGTAGGGTCTGGGGGACCTGCTGCCCCCCGCCTTTCGTCGTCGTCCTTCCCCTCCTCCTCCTCCTCCTCCTTCTCCTCCCCCTCCTCCTCCTCCCTTCGTCCCTCCTGTCATCGTCATGATTACCTTCTCTCTGTTCCTCATTACCTCTCCTGATCCTGGCTGCCCCGATACACAACACGCAGCCCGCAGCGTGTTGGCACGGAGCTCAACACGCAGACCGACAACGTGGGTCTGGCGCGAGACGTTCACCAAGACATGAGCCAACATGTAGAACCAACACGCAGCGTGCTACACACGGACGTCCTGAACACGGCAAGTGTTGCGCCTCAACGCGGCCGTCTCGGGGCAGCGGAGCTGCGTACCGCTCTCCCTCCTCCAGCGACTCATCCAGACGGCATGAGGGTTCTGTGGTAACTCCTGGGGGCCTCACGTACCATCTTGTTGGTCGACGCTAACCGATGCTAGTCGGCGCCAGCCGACGGTGATCGAAGCTGCCTCGACGCGACATCGGCGCTGTACTAGACGCTACTCGACGATAGCAGACGCCAAAAATAGTTAATATGTATATGACAAGGGACGTGTCGACCCTATCCCAGGCTTCCTGGGGTTTTCGCATGAACCAGAACTTTGGGGCCCAACCCTGGGAAATACGATAGGGGGCATGCATCCTCGATAGGAGGTCGTGCGAATCGCCCCCTTGGGATGCATCCCAGAGTTTCCCCCTGTCTCTTAGCCGCTTCATTTTTCGTCGAAATCGGGGACTGGAGGAGAAACATCGCCTGCGAGTATAGAAGGCTCCCACGAGTTGCTACCGCACGAGGGGAAGGGCGCGATGCGGTCCTCGCGGAGGCGCGCGGCGGAGGCGCGCGCCTCGCTCAGCAACGCCCGGACGTGGGCCAGCCTCTCCTCGGCCTCCGCCACGGCTGCACCGCGCGCGGCCGTGGCGCCCTCCAGCGCAGCGAGGCGGGAGCCCGCGACGACCTGCCGCGGGCGCGTGGTCAAAAGGACCCCGCCTAGGGCTACGCTATGAAACTATAGATACACACACGCCACACGCCCGCCGACGAGTGTTCCCTGTGCCTTTCAAGGGGGGGTGGCCGTATACGATACCGCTGGCCCGCAGTGGTGATTGTTACACCACCACCCTCTGCATGAGGCCCAGGAACCAATCCACTGGAAGCTGTCTTTATTTGTGTGGCGGATCGGCGCACCAAAGAAAAGGCTCCTGGAGCTCACGAGCGGCGAAAGTTGAACGTGTCCGCAGCCGCGCCCTCGCGGTCAAGCTTCCAGGGCGCCATCCCGCGGATGCGCGGTCGCACGGATGCGATCCGCGCGGGGGGCATCCGCGAAAAAACGCCCCAGCTCCGTCGGATCGCGGCCTGGGGGCCCGGTCCGCGAGGCTGTGGATACGGATGTGTTAGCAGGGGCCCAGGAGCACGCAAGTGAACAAACACGAATCCCAAGATCCCCATTATATTCCCATACGTTGTGAACGTTAGACTTTTCCCCCCCTTCCCACATTTCGCATATTTTCCGGGAGATCGTGGATTCTTTGCCTGTGTGTTTGCCCATCCTCATATGTTGTCCGGCCACGAGGAGCCGCGGAGGCCCTTGGCTCCAACAGGCTGCTCGAGGCAGGCAGGCGGTGCCCTGGGGGCAACGGGCTCTGATTCCCAGGGCCTTCCCCCGGGCAAGACGACGCCAGGACGCGGATAAAACGGGGTGGCGAGGTACGAAGAGAAGATGTGTACGCAGATGCCCTCCAAAGAACATTGCATGTGCCTTCAGGGAGGGCGGCGGTGTAGAAAGTCATTGGCTCTCAGTGGTCATTTGCACACCGCCACCCTCCCCTGAAGCCTGGGAACACTCCATTGGAAAGTGTCCGTTAAATCCGCCGACCCTGTCGGCGTGTGTGATGGGCTTGTCCGTTCAAGTCGTCATCTCCGTCATTCGTTGGTCGTCGTCTCTGTCGTCCCCTTTCCCTGCCTCCCCCCTTTCCCTGGGCTCGTCGAAGCTCCCCCCTTTCCCCGGGACCTCCTCAGCGCGCCAGCCAAAGCGAAGTTGAGCAACGTCGTAATTGAGTCGAAAAGAAGCCCCTTCCCTTCGATCCCTCCCCCGCCGGGGGGGGTGTCCCGGGGCGGGGGGGGGGGTCAGATACGACGCCCCCCCTGGGAGTCCCGGAGCCCCAAAAAGTCCCAAGACGGGCGGGCCAAGAGTGCCCCAAGAGGCCCCAAAGACAATCCCAAAGAACCCCCAATCGCCGGAGGATCTGTCCAAGACGTCTTGACGGCCCCCAGACGGCCCAAGAGGCCTGCAAAGCGCCCCAAGAGGCCTCCAGGAGCTTTCCCACGAGAGCCCCAAGAGGCAAAATTCATGGATTTCCAATACGTCTTTGAAAGATTTTGGCGTTCTTGCCTATTCGGCTTCCCGACGCGCCAAGACGGACCAAGAGGCCCCCAAGATCGCCCCGAGACGGCCCAAGAGGCCCCAAGAGGGGCCGAAGAGGGCCCCAAGACGGCCCAAGACGCCTCCAAGACCCAAGACGGCCCAAGAGACCCCCAAGACTGCTCCAGGAGAGTGTCCAGACGGGGGACCCGAACGGACGTTTCGAGCTCTCAGCCCCAAGAGGCCCCCAAGAGGCCCCGAAAAAGCCCCAAGAGGCCCCAAGAGGCTCCCAAGGGGCCCCCAAACTGCACCAAGACAGCCCAGGAAAGCCCCAAATTGCCCAGGAGGCATCCAAGAGTCCCTCGAGACGGCGCAAGAGGAGCCCTGGACGGCCCAAGACGGCTTCAAGAGAGCCCCAGGCGGTCCCAAGAAAGCCTCTGGCCTCCTCCTCCTCTTCCTCCTCCTCCTCCTCCTCCTCCTGCCCCCCCCATCTGCTCCCCCTCCTCCTGCTCTCCTTTGCCTCCTTCTCGTCCTCTTGCTTCTCCTCTACATCCTTCTCCCCTCTCCTCCTCCCTCATCCACCTCCTCCACCCGTACTCCACCTCCCACTCATCCTCCTCCCCATGCCCCCACCCTCGTTTTCAACTTCGTCGTTCTCAGGGTCGGAGGCACCGGCCGTAAGGTCTTCGCAATATTTTTCTAGGGGCCTGTTTACCCCGCCCCCCCAAATGACGTCACGTTCTGCGCCGACGGCGTCCGGCAATGCATGGGAGGACCGCGGCCAAGTAGGAGCAGCATGTAGGTGGCGATCTGCACCACAGCGCCTGTGTACACCACAGTGCTCGCGTGCACCACAGCGCCTGTGTACACCACAGGCGCGCGTGTACACCACAGCGCCTGTGTACACCGCAACAGCCGTGTGCAACGCAGCGCCTGTGTACACCACAGTGCTTGCGTGCACCACAGCCCACAGCGTCTGTGTACACCACAACGAATTTGCACACCGCAGCAACCATGTACAACACACGGCCTGTGCACACCATGACGCCTGTGCACGCCACAGCATCCGCGTGCAATGCAACGCTGGTGTACACCACAACGCCTGCGTGCATAGGACACGTAAGAGGAGCATGTCGGTGAGGACCTGCTGCTGACAGCTAAACACCACGCAAGGGAAGTGCTGTTAATGGAAAGCTATGTTATTCCCTCCTCCTCCTCCTCCTCCTTCTCCTCCTCCTCCTCCTCCGACTCCATCACCCTTCCCCCCGTCGTCCGGGTCGGCGCTACAGCGCACGTGCGAATCTCAGCGTGCACTGCAAAATGGTCGATTGAATCAGTCCACTTGGTTCTCGGACGGCCAAAAGTTCGGGAGCCTTCTGGACACAGATGGGAGGAGCTAGGATGATGCGGGAGGACTCGGGAGGACTCGTAGATTCCAGCGGCGCTCGTTTTGTCCACAAGAATTTCTTTCCAAATGCTATATAAAACAAATGTTTTCTGTGGAATCCACAGGCGCTCCATGTTGCCATGGTCCACAAAAGCGCCGTGGTGTACACAGGCGCTGTGTTGCACGAAGGAACTGTGGTGTACACTGGTGCTGTGTTGCACACGGCTGCTGTGGTGTACGCAGGCGTTGTGATGCACACAAGCGCTGTAGTGTACGCAGGCGCTGTGGTGCACACTGGCGCTGTGTTGCACGCGGCTGCTGTGTACATAGGCGGTGTGGTGTACACAGGCGCTGTGGTGCACGAAGGCGCTGTGGTGTACATAGGCGCTGTGCAGATCGCCACCTACATGATTGCTGCTACCCGTCCTCGGTCATCCCTAAGCATTCCCAGAGGCCGCCGGCGCGAAACGTGACGTCATCGGCCCCATCCGCCCCCGCCTCCACCAAGGTGACGGCCGTCATCGCCTCGTTTTTTTTGTTTTTTCTTTTTCTTTTTTTCATAAAAAAAGAGGCTCTAGTGGGGGATAGATCGAGAATCTCTGAGATTCAGCGGCTCTGGAGGATGCCTCGGGCGCCGCGACCTTCTCAGAGCGTCCCCGAACACTCTGAGAGCGTTCCGGCACGCTCTGGGATAGATTTATACTGGTCCTAGCCCCGCCCGACCAAGACCAGCTTTTCGTCCTGAACTGCTTTCTGTCTGACAACCCGATGGAGGGCCCTGGGGGGGGCCAGAAACGGCGACAACCTTCCAAAGCCCTTTTACCTCGGGACCCGCTTGCTTCACGGCGACCCCGGAACCACAGAGGCCATGAGCCCAAACATGCTGATGCCTCGCTGATTCACATCTGCCGCCTTCCGCCGGCGTTCCGCCTGCATTCCGCAGTACTCCGCCGAAGGCGAGATAGCCGCCAAGGGCGAGTTTTTTGTTTTTTTTCAGGACCGCGCCACATCACCGCTCGTGTCTGACTTCTTGTGGGGCAACAACAAAACCGATGGCACGCCGCCTTGGAGAACACATCAGCATGTTTAGTCCTGAAGAAACACCACGTACTCAGACAAAAACGAAGAAGTAATACGCTGACGGGCTCCCAAAAGTGGCGTGTCGTTGATATTACAGTTCCCTCCCGACTCCCGCATCTGGCAAATCGTTCCTGGTCGATACGTGGTTCAATCGATCGGCAGACTGACTCGAGGTCCCTGCCCAAATTCGACAATATTTGTTGCGCTGATGTATGTTCGCTGCGTACACAACTTATTAACAACGCACTGCGCGAACTATTTAGATCTAGCCAACCTGCTGGGTGTGATTACGACCATATCGACCCGGGGGCATATCCGCTACCGTGCCGCGGGGCACGAAAGAGAATGTCCACAGGTCCCTTTGAACTCAACGCGTTTAACGTTATAATTGAACCTTGCGCAAGTGCTTGTGAAAAAGGCCACAGGCCCCAGGCCCCAGTTTCGCGGGCCGGACGAAAGCAACCCTGCCTTTGCAACTCTAGCGTGGCGCTTTCCGAGGCCAGACATAACAAACATCTGTGTGTTTAAGTGTTCGGCCCGGGAGGAGGAGCCTGAACTGGCCCCACGAGCCCCCTTTCATGCCAAGAAGTCCCAAAAGGCCCCCAGGAGGCCCGCAAAAGACCCCCAAGAAACCCCCAAAGGCCCCCAAGGGACCCTAAGAGGTCCTGAAAAGAGCTGCGTTTTATCTTTAGACCCTCTCCCCAACTTCTTCACCAGTAGTGGAAACATACTGTCTTGTCGGCGCCTTTCTTGACGGACTGGGGCCCAAAACGAATGGAACATAGCTGTTTCTCTGCAGCACCAGCCGCATAACGAGGAAGACGACGACGACGAGATAAAAGAGGAGACTGTGAGCCACGCCTTCGGAGAAGAATGCGTCGATCTGTATCGCAATCCTCTTACAAAAATGCTCAACATTTTTCTGTCGTGAACGGCCGCCAAGGAAGCATTATTCACTGGGAGGAAAAAACAACAATGTCCAGCCCGCCCTACAACAGAGGGAAAATATCCCCGCCGCGACGACGGCGACGCATACGAGTACGACCACAATTGCGACTACGGCTGCGAGTACAACCCCTACGACGATGATGACTACAGTCACGATTACAATCACTGAAATAACAACGAC